TCCTACTTGATATCACTCAAAAAAAATCAATTGGTCTTGTATATAGACTATTAATTTGACTAATTAATTTATTAATTAATTTATTATTAAGTATAGACTATTAATATAGACACGTTCTGCACGAAGCAATGATACGCTGTTTTGCCGGGTCAAAATGCAGTCGTGCAGGATTACCCACACAAGAGTGAAGAGTGCATCGTTCTTGGGTCACTTATTTATATTCTCACTCATCTATTGAAGAATATTCTTAATATGTTCCTATATATTCATAGAGATTCACGTCGGAAATTCTTAATAATTTAGACAAGTTTCCCGGCTACAAGGCATTTGCTTCACTGAACGCTTAGCTGGCCACTTAAACCAGCACTAATACAAATATGTTAAAGTCTGTGAAAAAAGACAAATTCCGGTAAGGTTTAGGAAAATCCTTCACAATTTTAAATTTATAAATAAAATCATCATATTTAAAGACAGGCTATTAATGGGAAGTAGCGCTCACTGCTTTCTGTGGCAAATATGCCTGACATTCATTATATGGGTTCATTTTCAGAAAATTTTAAATTATTTAAAAAATTAATATACTTCAGTACAACGTTAATTCTTTATTTGGAATACTTATTATAAAAAACTCAATTGGAAAAAATTTACAAACTTATCGTGTTATACAGAGATATTATTCTTGAATGAAACAATTTCTCATTTATCCCTTTAGCGACCACCTTTCTTGATCGGACAAAACATCACATTGTAATCATGAAGCATTACTGAGATTTGCTCATTAAAAATACTGCTACAGACATATATATGTCTACCTGGACCTATCGGAGACTGAAATTATAAGCGATATATTGCCCAGTTGGACGAATGAGTTTTATACATAACAGAAAATTCGATTTTGAAAGGCGCCGTATATGTACAGCTGAAAGCTAGAAAGTTAATGAAAGAATTACTAAATTAAGAAATGCACGTCTGGAGGAAATGCTGAGTAATTGCCTAGGATAAGATGGCCCTCAGGAGGGCACCTTTCTCACGCCACGCATTTCCTGTGCCCTCGGCCCACACATCCATCAGCATTGACGGTCGCCTCGCCTACACGCCTCATTTCCCCTCTTAAATGAGTCTTAAGATCACATGCCGACGTCTGCACATGCCCGCAGTATGTGACGAAAACGAAGCAGTGGCCTTCACGTTGGTTGAGCATGTGACGAAAAATGACGCGGTGGCCTTCACATTATATGTATATAATTGAGTACGTGACGAAAAGAGTGTGCGTCGTTATTTGGACATGACACATTCAATTTTCTGAGCGCGCTGAGCATGAAACAGAATCAGCGGCACGTCAGTATTGCACTCTCTGCAGTCCATTATTGAATGTTTTTACATAATTTCTACCCGCAGCGTTTCGTAAACGATCAATTACTCGCCAGGTTGTAGGGCTGATCTATTTCTCGCCACGTTCTATGCCCATAAATTACTCGCCACGTTTTATGTCGATCAATTTCTCGCCACGTTGTAAATTGATCAGTTCTCGCCACGTTCTAGGTCGATCATTTTTTCGTCAAGTCGCGCACCGATCAACTTTTCGCCATGTTGGACTGATAAAAATCATGACTAAGTTGAAGAGAAATGAGAATCGGACGCGAGTTGCTACGTATTAAATGAATTCAAAATCGACATCAATATTTAATCACCCAATACAATTTTAAATTTCATATGTAATCGAAGCAACGACGCTATATCGTTAGAACACGCATATATTCTTTTAACTTAACGGCCGCCATTAACTTGGTTAGTAAATTCCAATATTTTTATGGAAACAATTAATTGAATTGCGTGGTAACTGAAAAATGCAGGCTATCATTGGCATATATAAAAAGCCTGCCTGAAAAATGCTGGCATATATAAAATACACGGCTATAATTGGCCACCAATAAATCATTCAAGAATTTTGAGCAAGAAACCCTTAGGCTAAATAAATATCATTCAAACATAACTTTTTGCTATTCGAATAATGCAGTGCAGTTAAAAATTAATTTATTTCTGTATCGCAAGTTCAGATGTGAAATTTAATGTCGTACCACGGTAATTAGAAAGCAATCAGTTCCGTGCTCAGGCTAAATTTATGACATTGATTTAGAGAAAATTATATTCATTACTGAATATGACATAACGCTAGCGGGCATGTTAGCTCTGCGTACTGGGAAAACTAGATTTTTATATTAACAACTCTAATTATATACGAGGCATGTAATGGTACCGAGCATTAATAGTCGAATTTAATTCAGTTAAAAACGGTAAGACTTTTTTTGCACTCAATTTTATCTCGAAATAATCACTCGGAATTATACATCATAAATTTATTCAAATTTCCCTTATTTATAAGCAGCCAGAAAAGTCGTGTAAGAATTTTTACGAGTTTAAGATAAATTTCATCAGATAATTGCTTGCGATCAATATTTTAATCCAACAAATCTAAATTTTTGAGGAGTGTCCGAGAATTCAGGACCGTTCATCATTAATATGTTACGATTCATCCATATATTTAATGTAAAGAGTAACGTACTGTCATATAATGTGTTCGTCATCATCGTGATGAACAAAATCACAAGTATTCAACTTAGTAAAAGCTTTACTTAAAGAAAACTAGAAGTCAAGCAATTTTTAGCAGCTTCCATGACTGCTGATGAGTACAAAAATTGGAAAGCTTTGCGAAGGACATTTCTTATGTTAAAATTATATTAAATTTTGAAATACTTGAGTTTAAGGACTCGCGTTCATGCATTATTATTCATACATTCATTCATCACACAGGCAAGCCATACCAAATACATAGTATTCACAAATCAGCGGGTATTTTGAATGTAGGTGAATGAAGATATGAGTAAATATCAAAGCTGCTATTGTGACCTGCGGGTTTTTTTATGAGAAAAATTTCCCCTAAAATTTCGACAGGGTAAAAATAAATCCTTCATGCATTACTAATGTTTTCCGCCAGTGAGGGACTTTGGCAGCTTTCCAGAACTGCCTAAGAAGCTTATAAATAGAAACGCAAAAAGTTCAGGCTTGTATTCTCCTAACAATTATTCGCAGTTTTCAAAAATTTTCGGAAATAGATTTTGTGTTTTTTTCTGTTATCAATTTTTCCGCAATCTCGTGCAATATTACAATATTCTTAGAGTATTCAAATTCGAATCAATTATTCAAGGCCGCCCTTGGAATCTTCTTACCGTTGACCTAAATAATAACGTGGTAAATTATTAAAAATTATAGTACATATTGGTGCCTGGAAAATTCATTGAATATTGCTCTAAAGATGCTGAATATTAAAATAAAAATGGGGTTATGGATTTTATATTTTTTTCGCTTGAAAATATTATTGAAACATCCTTATTCTGCACCAACATTATTAATCAACAATTCATTCGATTTGTTCATACATTATCGATTATCACACTTCCACCGACAGTTCTTTAAAGTTATTTGCAAGATTTTATACCCTAACATTTATAGCAATTACTCGTATGACTTCATCATAAAATCCATAACCCTGCGAAAGTTGAAAGCGTCATTTTCTTGCGATCCGCATTCCGCATGAGCGCACGTCAAACGCGTTCCATTTATGCTCCATAATCATGACACCGAAGGCAGACGGACGCTCGTTATCGGGCATGAATCATGAATCGCGTAATATGCAAATTTATTCATATTTCCTGCAACGATGTCGCCTGCGCGTAAAACCTAAGCGTTTGTCGAGAGTTTCCGAGTAGAGTTTTTTTATTTCCAGCGTTTGGGGAAGTATTCTGGATACGAGACGTAAAGAATTGCAGAGTATTTAAGGCCTTACAATTTCATAGTTTCACGCGTGTAGTGGTTCCAAGAATTCAATTAATTTTAAGGTTTAAACCTTTTATTCTAAACCGATTTTATTTACATGTTTTGGAAAGTGTTTACTGAGATACATTTCTGCAAGACTATACAATTCCAGTTACTAGAGCAATCATGGTTGTTCTGAAAAAAAAATATATATATATTTGTAGATGAAAATTGGCCTCAGCTGCTGTACGTATTGTATCGCCCTATCTAAAAAAAATGTACTACTTAACCTAAATATTTTTGCATGATATAAGTTACGCATTTGGTTCAAACTTACTTTCCGAGCTTATACTGAATTTTGGTTCCAATCTAGTGAAAATAATTGCAATTATGAATTGTTTGTTAAGTGAACACACGCGCCTTGCCTAATATAACGTCTTCGTCGTACCAAGAATCGAGCTCTACAAATTTAGACATCACAGTACAAAGGATAAGATCGGGTTATGGAAAGATCGGGTTCCAAAGGCCGGATCCCTTGTGAATTAAGTCACGAAAAGTTCAAGAATCGGCAACAGGCCATGGACCTATTTCTTCAACGCCGACACTTCTATTCTATTCTATAAGCTTTATGATAAGTTTTCTAACAACGGATGGAAGATAATAAAAAAAATAGTTTCTCAGTGACATTTTGGTTACATCACACGTTTAATTGGAGTTCTTAGTTTTCTTTCGTACTTAAAGATTCTTTGGTGGTGGAAATGTACTGCCATCCTCGTTAGGATTTCCTAGTGAATGTTCCTTCCACTGTCAACTTTACATTGATAGATAAAATAATTAATTCGTCCTGTACCGAGAACAACCATGAACATTACGAAGAGAAAATATTTGTTGAAACTTTCTACCTAGAAAACGCGATTTTTATCGAACCGAGTGACTGTGACGAGCGTCATCTGAACTTTTGTAACGTGCAAAATCCATTATTTTGCTCCCTATTCAATCTGTGAATTTTTATACTTTGTTCAAAATATGTCCAGACTCCATGCCTGTACCGCCTCTGTTGTTATTATTGTAATAATATTAAATTAGAGCATTTTTCTTCAGTTTTAATGTAAATGTAAAATAATGTTTTGATATCTGAGTTTTTCTATAATTCTTATGACTCTAACCCTACCTCGTTTTCTTTGCAGATAACGTTTTGAGAGTACATCGGCGGTGAAGATGAGAATTAGTAGTGCGAAAAGAAAGAGATCTGTCATAGGAATTATATAGATTACCCTAATATTTTACGTTTTTTATGAGGTAAAAAACGCGCGTTTTCTATTCAAAGAAAATGGAGGAGAGACTGCCACAATCGAGGTTCAGAAATCCTTTCTACGTGATTCAAAGAACTATTTTGATTATAACAGTGTATATGGTTCTTTTCACACATAGAAGCGACACTGCACAACAGTTCACTGAGCAACCAAAGCCAGTTACTGCAGTTTTAGGGCAAAATGTTACCCTGAAGTGTACGATTAAGGATCTCAGAGGAGCGGTTCAATGGACCCAAGACGGGTTCGGTCTCGGCACGAGTCGGTCCTTGCTAGGATACGACCGCTACAGCATCATAGGCTCAGCAGAAAAAGGTATGAAACAGTAACTGTGATAAACTATTTTTTTTAATCTTTGGTCAAAGGACAAAATTTGGCGAACTATTAGATCTACAGTTTTACTCTTAAAAGGCAATTTAAATACGTTATTCGCGTATCTCATTATTACTGAACTCACTTATTAAGAATGACACCTGAACATTCGAATGTTGCCAACCTCATTCAACTATCCACAGCAATCAGCGGCATTTTCGCCACTCGTGTGGCGAAAGGCTTGCGCTACACGAGTCCATAGGCTTGCGTCAATTTAATTTAATTTATATTTAATCATCCTCATAAGCCACGTGATTAGCACCTTCCGATCTAATTTCATAATTGCCATTAATCACGTGAATGGCACCTGACGATGTTATTTAAAATTGCCATTAATCAAGTGAATGGCACCTGATGATCTAATTTCATTCTTCCCATTAACCAGGTGAATGTCAGCTGCTAATATAATTTCATTCTTCCCATTAATCAGGTGAATGTCAGCTGCTAATATAATTTCATAATTTTCATTACTCGGCTGAATGACACCTGCTGATCTACTTTCATTCTTCCACATTAATCAGATGAATGTCAGCTGCTGATCTAATTTCATTCTTCGCATTAATCAGGTGAATGGCACCTGAACATTCGCACACTGCTGCTCTCGGACGACGCAGAATATCAGTGTCAGGTCGGAGCTGCAGAGGGCGAGCCCTTGTTGCTCAGCAGCAAAGCCAGCGTCACGGTGCGCGTGCCGCCCAAGAACAACGATGACATGGTCTCCATAGACCGGCCCTCCCCCATCACCGCCACCGCCGGGGAGCCTATCAGGATCAGCTGCATGGCCAGGTTCTCGAAACCTGCATCCACGGTGAGTGCTCATAGAACTCAAGGTTCTCTAAATTAATGTTCCAGCTTTCAGAATCAGCTGCATGGCAAGGTTCTCGAAGCCTGCATCGACGGTGAGTGCTCACAGAACGCAAGGTTCTCTAAATTAAAGTTCCAGCTATCAGTATATTCTCGAAGCCTGCATCCACGGTGAGTGCTCTTACAACTCAAGGTTCTCTAAATTAATGTTCCAGCTTTCAGAATCAGCTGCATGGCCAGGTTCTCGAAAGGTGAGCGCTCATAGAACTCAAGGTCCTCAAAATTAAAGTTCCACCTAGAACTCGAAGTATCAATGTAGCGGTTATTGTGCTCATTTTAATGCTTAGGTATAGTTTATTTTTACTTTAGAGTTCAATGTTTTCTTCTCTAGCCGACAGTGTAAATTCTAGAGCACAATTAAGGACCTCGTAGACTGCATCCACAGCAAATGCTTATTGAACTCAGGGTTCTATAAGTTAAGGTTCTCGCTAGAAATTGAAGTTGTATAAATTAGTTTTATATTATATTAGAGAGCTATATTTTCTTCTCTGGCCGACAATGTGAATTTTAGAGTACAAGGTTCTCGAAACCTGCATCGACGGTGAGTGCTTATATAGAACTCCGAGTTCTCAAAATTAAATTTCTTGCTAGAACTTGAGGTATAAATGAAGTTTATTATATTGTACTAGGTTTTTTTTGTCTGATCGGCAATGTGCATTCCAGATTTCATGATTTTCTTGGCCTGCTACCTTGACGAGTTCTACCCCTCAATTGGGTCAATAGCCTTAAATAAAAATATATTATAATGCTTTATGAATTATAAACAAATCTCATATGTGAGTTCGGGAGCTCAAGTTTCTTTAAGGTTAGTCACGTAAAAGACGCGAAAGTTTCCATATTAAAACAAGTCAAGAGAAATTATCAAGTAGTTTAAATTTGGTCAGAATTAAATTTAGGGCCTAATAAATTGAACTTTAGCGAAAAAAGTCTATCATGCGATATTTGTTTCATCTATTGCATAATGAGCGGACACAAATTTCCGTATTTCGTCATACATAAAATATTAATAGTATTCTTATTCGTGTTTTGTCATTCGGTCGAAGAATTGCTTATCATGTTCGTACGTCACTTGTTGGCTTCACATTAGCATTGCTAAGCTTAATTTGTCCCGAATTCATGAAACCAATCAATTTTTCATGGAATAGCAATTCATGAATAGCAAAGTAATTAACTCCTTTCTCCCAGATCTATCGGCATCCATTTTCGTGAACGACAAAGCAATATTTTTATTCTTTCCCACATCTAAATGAGCAATTATAGTCGAGCTATTATTTTTCACATCATCTAGAGCATAAACATTAATTTTTATGAGTGGTATCGTAATAATAACCTTTTCCCCAGATCTAATAATCATTACCCCAGATCTAATAATCTTCACCCCAGATCTAATAATCTTCTCCCAGACCTAATAATCTTCACCCCAGATCTAATAATCTTTACCCCAGATCTAATAATCTTCACCCCAGACCTAATAACCTTACCCCATATCTAATAATCTTCACCCCAGATCTAATAATCTTCACCCCAGATCTAATAATCTTCACCCAAGATCTAATAATATTTACCCCAGATCTAATAATCTTTACCCCAGATCTAATAATTTTTACCCCAGATCTAATAATCTTTACCCAGACCTAATAATATTTACCCCAGACCTAATAATCTTTACCCCAGATCTAACAATATTTACCCAGATCTGATAGTCTTTACCCCAGATCTAATAATCTTTACCCCAGACCTATAAATCTTCACCTCAGATCTAATAACCTTCACCCAGACCTAATAATCTTTACCCCAGATCTAACAATATTTACCCAGATCTGATAGTCTTTACCCCAGATCTAATAATCTTTACCCCAGACCTAATAATCTTTACCCCAGACCAAATAACCTTTACCCCAGATCGAGTGGTACAAAGGCAGCGAAAAGATCAAGAAAGGCACGGAGACGACGACGCTTGAGATGCCCAACAGTTCGCTGGTGTCGGTGCGCAACACGCTCGACCTCACGCCCGACGAGACGTACAATAACGTCAACCTGACGTGCAACGTCGCACACGTCGCCATGGACGAGCCCATCGTCAGGAGCGTCCTTATGACCGTCAAATATCCTCCCAAGGTCAAGATTGCTGCTGACTCAGTCAAAATCACTGAAGGCGATGATGTAAGTGAAGTAATAGTATAATTTTAAATATTCAAATGACTTTTATTTGTTTGTAATACCCGATATTTTTAACTCGAGATAGTTGCTGACTCAGTCAAAATCACTGAAAGCGATGATGTAAGTGATGTAATAGCATAATTTTTCTAGATTTAAATGACTTCAATTTATTTGAATACCTTAGATTTGTTGCCTTATTTAAAATATTCTCAAATTCTCACAGGTAATTTATTATATTTATTTGTATGATAAATGTTCCCATTGCACGTGTTGTAACATGTATGGTGATGCACATCAATAAAATAAAGCTAGAAAATGATAAATAAATTAAAATTACAATGGGGGTTTTCCCCGTTCAAATTACGGGGTTTTCAAATCAATGGTGATTTGAAAACCCCGTAGGAATAATACAGTTGTAGTAATAGTTTTTCATTCATCTTCATTCGTTTGAAAATTGTATTTTTTGCATAGAATCTGCAACTAGTCTTGTACTCAAAAATGGTTGGGCCAAAATAGGTCAATTATAGGATTACAAATAACAATTCTACAACCAACATTAAAAAGATGTTCCTGAATTTAACTAAAAAGAAAATTACGAAAGTGTTCATGTTATCATCACATAAATATATCTTTCTCTTGTTAATATTTTACAATTCTTCCCCGAACATGCAATGAAAATGTCCGCCAATTTAGAAGTAAAGAAAGTAAAAGAAGTGCCTTGGTCGTACGAGAAATAAAATTAAATAATGCAATAATTTAATTAAGTAAATTAAGAAATGAAATTAAATTATTTTAAACTTATATTGAATCAATTTCAAAATTAAATTAAATAATTTTAAAACTTAAATTAAATTATTTTAAAACTTATATTAAATAATTTCCAACTTTAAATTTCTTAATTGCTAAAATTAGATTGAATTAAATAATTTAAAAAACTAAATGAATAATTTGAAAAATTAAATTGAATAATTCGAAAAACTAAATTCTTAGTTGTTAAATTAGAATAAAGTAAATAATTATATATCGTTGTGCAGGTTGTATTCACATGCACCGCAGAAGGCAACCCCAGCAAGCTAGTGTACCGGTGGGAGGTGGGGGGTGTGACTGTAGAGGGGGCGGACCACGGCCCGACGTTTACCATGAAGAACGTCACGAGAAGTCTACATAAGTCTACGGTCGCTTGCTTCGTCACCAACGACATCGGGACAACGTCTGCCAACCACAAACTGGCTGTTGAATGTGAGTGAAGAGTACTTAGAGTTTCCTTATTTAGTGAATGATGTAGTAAGTGATATTCAGGCTGTTGAATGTGAGTGAAGTGTGCTTAGAGTTTCCTTATTTAGTGAATGATGTAATAATTGATATTCAGGCTGTTGAATGTGAGTGAAGTGTGCTTAGAGTTCCCTCATTTAGTGAATGATGTAGTAAGTGATATTCAGGCTGTTGAATGTGAGTGAAGAGTATTTACTTGAAGTATTAGAGAAAAGGGTACAAAAGACCGCGGAAAATATTCGAGGAGTTAATGGACAGTTTTATCTATACTTACAACTCACAATGGAATTTTTCTTCAATGTACATATATGTGAGATAAGTGTTGATGATGAAAGTAAAAATACGAGAACTCCTTCTAATGAACTTGCATCTCATAAAGAATCAACTTTAACCTGATTAATTACCGACTTATATGTGATGAATAATTAACTGAAAAAAACATAACTGTACTGAATTAAGATATGCCCAATATTTTCTCGTTCCCTTAATTATTTTTTAATTAAATCTAATATAGATCTTCCATTAAATCAATTATAGCAAATATTTTTCTACTTATTTATTATATCAATTATTTTCTCGTTAAACCGATTAATTAAAAGAAACATTTTCACAATTCGCCTTCCATCAATAATACTCCTCTAAATCACATTATATATAATTATTGAATTTTCATACGGTTTATTGTTATATATTTCAAATTAGATGTTATAAGCAGATGTTTTTTAATGCGATTACATTCTAAACTTCAGCAATGTTGAGACAGGGCTGAGCTATCCATCCGCGAAATGTTAGCGGATGCGAACATTTCATTTTATAAGCGAAGTGTTCGCTTAAATTCATTTTCTCGTTCAATGAATGATGGATTTAGTATTGAAAAGCAGAATTTCATAATAAATATACTATCCATTTTTTTGTGCGCGTCTCTAATGAAATATGATCGATGAAAATGTGGTTCAATATGGACAAAACAAATTTTTATGGCTGTTTGCGATCCAAAACTGCGGCCGGCTGAGATCAGCTGTCCTCGCACCAGATTAAATTGCGAAGTTTAAAAATTTATAACAAGTTTTCAATTTACCACTCAAAATTTTGATAAAAATTTGTACTAATTTTAATTTACTAATTGAGAAACAGGGAATAAATGATTAATTAACATTTTTTCTGGAATTTTTGTAATGTCATTTCTAATTGGACTTTACAATTTATTGTCAAAACTTAGCATCTGCATTCAATTTCCGCCCTCAGATGCGCCAGCTTTCAAGTCGGAACCGCAAGACGCGGATGCGGAACTCGGAAAATCCGTGAACCTGACATGCGATGTCGACGGAAATCCAACCCCGGAGATCGTTTGGACGCATAAGGATTCTGACAAGGTCATAAATTGATATAAGTCTTATTTAATTGGAGAATATTACTTGTACAATTATTAAGAATATGTTTCAAAATTTATCGACAGGAAGTTTTCTAATATTTATTTGCTGTTATCCTAAATTAATGTTATAAATGTTCTGCATAACTTTCAGTGAAGCTTTACAATCGAATTTATCGCGGCCTTTTGTTCTATTTTAGGCTATAAGCAAATTTTCGCTATTACTTCTTGAGCAAACTTCACAGAAGTAAAATGCAAATTATAATTAACAACTAATTTAGTGACGCGGTTACGACCACAGAGGAAAATATAATTAAATTAGTCTTAACTGCGGGTAGCTAAGTTCTATTTATGGAATAGCGTTTTTGATAAGTAGCGCGTATATTGGACAATACTTGCGAATTATGTATGAACCTGAACATATCCCACCTTCCAAATATCACCGGAAGGCTGTAATAAATTCTGGATGCGAAGATTCATGAAAATATGTTTAGTGAATTGGGATAAATTTAATGTCCACTGCAAATTTTAAAACTTGACGGAAAGATGTCCAGGAGGTCAAATATCTGTGACCATCTGCCTTAATTTGCCACAGAAAATGTAATTAAATGAAGATCTTTTTCGCTGGAGCTCGTTAACTTGGAGTCATTAAAGATAAACTGGCGACAAAATTTGCCAATATTGCACCCATGGAGGTAGTTGCATTTAACTCCCTTCAAGATCGTAAATTAGGCAAAACTCTAAACTTAAGTCTGACGAAACTTAATAATTAAATTATTATCAACTTCGTATCATGTACGGTGATTGTGAATTCATGAATGGCAGAGTATTTATTCAAGGTAGTGAGACCATGGAAAGTCACTAATTCTTCCGAATTAACTAAAAAAGATTGTTCACTTGAAACTAAATAACGATGAAACTTTACCAATACATTTTCATTGTGTAAAAAATGTAAAATTATTTGAGCATGCCCACCGCATTGGAGGCAATTTTAATGTAATTAAAATTGATTAAATATAATGTAAGATGCTATACTATGCTATGCTATGCTATGCTATGCTTGCTATGAATGCTATGCAACAATAAACTTTTTGAAATGCCATAGTGAGTCACAAAAAAATACGACATTTGCAGGTCATCCACATCGGAGCTACCATGACAGTGACGGTCTCAGCAGCCACCGTCGGCACCTATAACTGCAGAGCCACGGTCACTGGCTTCACTGAGGTAATAAATTACCTACGACAAATTACCTAAACCATTCAAATTACCTTAGCCAATCAATTTACCTAAGCCATTCAATTTACCTAAGCCATTCACACTACCTAAGGTAAAAATAAAAAAATTATCCTCTTATTTTATTCATGTGTTACTTATACTTAAATTAACATCTAATAAACATCCACTGTACATTAATAGCTGAAGATCCTTCTAGCCATCAAATATCTGAGATTAATATTTTTGAATACCGCACTGGTGGTGTACAAATATCAATATATAATAAGAAAATTTAGAGTTGCTCACATCTGGCATGCACTGTCAGGACGCATGACCGGTACGCCTATGTCATTATATAATCTGTAATTTCATTACTAACCGTTCAGATCTGGCACGCGTCGAGCGCTGAACCTAATTTATAAAGTACTATTAATTATAATTAATAATATTATAGATCTGGCACGCACGGTGAGCCGAATTTAATTTATAAAATTAATATTAATTATCATTCAGATCTGGCATACGCGGTGCGCGGAACTTAATATATAAAAGTAATATTAATTTATTAACTATTGTTCAGATCTGGCACGCGCTGTCAGTGCGCATGCGCGGGGCGCCGATGGTGGAGCCTGACCAGCGTCACTACGGCGTCGCCGGCGGGACCGTGAGACTCAAGTGTCGCCTGCACGCCATCCCGCGTCCCACCTCCGTCACCTGGTCTCGTTATGGAGTAACCATATATCCTGGTCAGACATGGCTTCTGTATAATCCTAGTATTTTTACATACGTGATATTTGTATTTACACATGCCTTTTATATAATCCTATTATAATTACATACGCGACATTTGCATTTACTTATCAGTCATAGTTTATTTCTTATCACCTGGTCTCGGCATGGAGTAACCATTTATCCCGGTCAGACATGGCTTATATATAATCCTAGTATTTTTACATACGTGATATTTGTATATACTTATCAGTCATATTTTCCCACTTCATAGTGGATATTTGGAAATAATTTTGGCAACTTTTATCTGGGACAACAATAATAATAACTATTTATCCCGGTCAGACATGGCTTCTGTATAATCCTATTATATTTCCATACGCGACATTTGTATTTACTTATCAGTCATAGTTCATTTTTTATATACACATTTTATTTGTTTATATTTATATTTTATTCAAATTTTATCTTTTACTTCATAGTGGATATTTGAAACTAATTTTAGCAACTTTTATACGGGACAACTATTTATCCTGGTCAGTTAGGGCAACTTGTTAATCATATAACATTTAATATTCGCATATAAATTACAATAGTTTATTTTATTTAGTTTCTGTGATTTTCCAAGCAGCATTAACAGCATTTTTGTCTTGACACGCAGAAAAATACATGGGTCATATAATCAAAATAATGACACGCTTTCTGTACGTAGCACTGACACGAACTTTTTTATAGCCAAACTTGGACAGAATTACCCACACTGCGCAAAAATGAGTATCAATATTTGGACAAAATCTGACTGATTTCTCTGTGTGCAGATCAGCACAAGTACATCACCGAGGAGGAACCGACGGCGTCGGGGGTGGAAAACACGCTCACAATTTTCAGCGCCAGACAAGAAGACTTCGGCCCTTACAACTGTACTGCCAACAACACATTCGGCTCAGATACTGCGATTGTTCTGTTACTGCAACAACGTGAGTAACTGTTACCATTACTGTTAGTTGGTTACTGCAGCAACGTGAGTAACTGTTATCATTACTGTTAGTTTGTTACTGCAGCAACGTGAGTAACTGTTACCATTGCTATCAATTTGGTAGTTGTATTAAAACCGAGCTCCCGTTACACCCGAGCTAAAGTAAGCGAAGATAATTTTTTATGTCAAGTAAAGTTGTTGTAACTGCTCATTTTTACCCAATTTTCCGTAACTCAGAACCGTGAAATATTTTTGTATTGCCTTAAATTCGGAATGCAGCGAAGCTCAAAAATGGCGCTCAAACTTTAACTAAGAAATACATGCCGTTAAGTATTGTGTTAACGAATTTAAATGGGATCACTCATAAATCCGATTATTGATGTATCTCCTAATGCATTTTGCTGTCTCTTTGGGCATTAAATTTCTGATCAATAATTAGCTCCAATTCGCGGTGTGGTAAATTCGACTTTTTTCTCGTGTATTTATTTATCACACTGTGAATTCTTTTTTCTTACTTGTGTTTCATCACTTCAATGATTCTCATTTATGATGCATAATTTTTCGTCTGAAAAAAGTTGAATTCTTAAAAAACCTTTACACCTGAACGCCGCGCACTTTAATTAAAGTAAATAAAGTTAACTGTTATTAGTAAAAGAGTTTTATGTAAATCTAAAAAAATTCGTTTGTACCAATCTTCTATTTCAGTATATTCATATCGATGTAATTATAGAATATATTAATTATATAGAATTTGAAATATAATATTCAATATATAATATATAAATAATTCAATAACAGAGAGTAAAAGAATTTTATGTAAATCTAAAAGAATTCATTCGTACCCATGTTTTATAACAGTATATATATAGATTTAAATATAGATTATAATAAATGTATAGAATTTGAAATATAATATTCAATATATAATATAAAAATAATTTGATAACAGAGACCCTGCCTCTGATCACAACCCTGGTCGCCATCTTGGGCGGCATCCTGTTCCTAATCGTCGTGGTTGCCGCTATCGTCCTCTTCAGGCGGAAGGGTCTCGAGTATAAAGGTCTGCTGAACGCTCTCGATGTTTTGTCTACGTTGTTTGTTACATGTGTAGGCTGGCAGAATTTCTTCTCTTAAGCAAGTTTTGTTAAAGACCAGAGACCAGTTTTGTTGTTTATTACATGCAGGCTCAATCTTTGCTTAAAAAATCAAATCGTTGCCGCTTTCGTCCTCTTCAGGCGGAAGGGTCTCGAATATAAAGGTATTGCTGAACGTTCTTAATGTTTTGTCTGCGTTGTTTGTTACATGCAGGCTCAAGCGTTACATAAAAATAAAATCGTTAAATAAATCAAATCAAATAGTCGTTAATTTTTTATATAGTTAGGAAACTTCTAGTTTACGTTGTTTTAACTTAATAAATGAGAGGTAAATAAATATTTCAACGTTACTTATAGAGATCGTTGTGGTGATGAGTTGAAGTATACGTTATATTTATTTTAAAAATATTCAAATTACTTTTTATTATTAGAATAAGCAATTAGCCATTTTCGAATGTTTGTCATTAATATGGATGTGTGCTTCAATATTATTGCATTATTGATTTAATTTAGAATAATTTTTTTACCTGCAACCTCACAATTACCCTATAATCCTAAGTAAAATAAGAAATATACCCTAAATAATCAAATTAAAAAACATTTCAGACCCAGCTATGGAGAAACACGGCATGCACGACCACGAAAATTCATCCTCGCACGATTCCGTGATCAAAATGAACACGCACACGGGGACGTATTCTGACACGTACACAGGCACAGCTTCAGGCACGTACACAGGCACGGCTTCAGGCACGTACACGGCTTCAGACTTGACGCCTTCAGAAGCCGACGATGACGACCGCGAGCACGACGAGAACGACGAGGAATTCAGCAACGAAGACTGGGAGACGAGAAACCTTGCCGACCCAACGCGCGCCGACGCCCGGCCTTACCAGTTCCCTGCTAGCATGGTGAGAGACATGAATAATGAACCATACGTTTTTGTGAGTGATGGTATGGTGAGAGACATGAATAATTACCCATACGTTTATGTGAGTGATGGTATGGTGAGACGTGAGAGACATGAATAATAATTATTACCCATACGTTTTTGTAAGTGATAGTATGGTGAGCGAGACACGAATAATTACCCATACATTTATGTGAGTGATGGTATGGTGAGAGACATGAATAATGACCCAAACGTTTTATGTAAGTGATAGTGTGGTAAGCGAGACAATTACCCATACATTTATGTTAGTTATAGTATGGTGAGACCCAAGAATAATGACCCATACATTTATGTGAGTGATAGTGTGGTGAGAGAGACATTAATAGTGACCCATACGTTTTTGTGAGTGACGGTATGGTGAGAGACATGAATAATGACCCATGCATTTACGTGAGTGATGGTGTGGTGAGTTTGGTGTCTATTACACTCAGAAAAATTAGCACTCTTCGTTCCAATATCGATGCGCTTCTCTCCCTTGTGTGCATCATATTGGCCCAGTTTGACCGACCGTGCAAATGGGCTTCTGTAGAACGTCCTCTCTCTGCCCGTTCTGTAGTTAATAAGTTGTGTCTTTTTTGAACAATAGAGCCATCCATTTTTCTGAGTGTGTGATGAGTGAGTCTAATGATAGTATGGTGAGTAAGACTGATAGTTTAGTGAGTGGGGCTTCTAGAATGGTGAGTGTAACCCTACTAGCATAGTGAATTGGGCCGCTAATATAGTGAGAGCGATTCTGCTTGTATGGTGAGAGGCCCAGGCTAGTATGGTTTTCGGTAGTAGGTATCATTGAAAGGAAAATTTATGCCTTAGACTAACTTTTTTTGTAATTCCTCTTTCCAAGTTAAAGGGTGCATAGCCAAGCTGTTGATATTGTCGCCAATGAAAATCAATCTTAGCCAAGTAGAAGATATCGAAGTCAAGTAGCTGAAGTAGGAGCAATCCTGAGTAACATCTTTTGACAATTAGATGCAAACTTTGTTAATTAGATACTATATTAGCTTTCAACAAAGAAAATGAATACTATTCAGTAATATAAGATTTAAACACTTGCAAGGAACCTTTCTCAAAAACAAGAACAATTTTCATAAGGTACGTGTAATCCTAGGCTAGTGCCAAGTAGAAGCAATTCTCGCTACATAGAGTCAATCTTCGTCAATTAGAGCGATTCCGAGCCAAGCAGAAGCAATCTTCGTCAAGTACAAGCAATCCCAGCCAAAGCAATCTCAATCCGCTGGGGCAAGTCATTGCCGAGGCATGGAGTGCTCACCGGCGCTGTATAAACGGATGATCCCATACGCTCAACTTCGGCTCAAGTGATGCGGCTTGCAAGAGATTCCACTTACAGAAATGATGTAGTTTTCCCTTAACTTGTGTGCGTTTTCTTCAAAGATGAAAGAAAACGAAACGTGGAGGCAGCATGATATCACAGACTGATTTGTTTTCACTTTATTCTGATTTGAGAAGGTTTAAAATTCTATATGTTTAATAGTGCAAACGTTTTGTAGACCAGCTTTATCATTGATTCAAAGGTTAAATATTTTATGATAAATAGATGAAATAAATTCTCCGATTTGAACAATTATATAACCAAAATATTCACCTTGCTAGGTTTTGATGCTTTATTTAACAATTACACAGTTTTATCATAATTGATGTTATATCACTAAATTTTAATGCCTAAGACTCACTGAGGAATACATCATGATAAAATATTTGGATAAATAGTAAAGTGTACCTAAGAACCAATTTACTTACAAGAACCAGGCAATAGCAATGCTGTTCTTATTTGCATTACGTTACTGCAAAATTAAAATAAGAACACATTTTGACTATCTTCATCATATATTTTATTTCATGCTATCTTAAAATGTCTTTGTTAATAATTATAATTAAATCCCGATTGTTTTTCTCACAGGACCTGCAGCTGAACACTAGTGGTTCCTACTTACCATTCGACTATCGCGGTGACTACAGTCCACCACCACCGCCACCACCACCACTACCAGCAAACTACCATCGCAATACCGTCTATACCAGCGTTCCTATGAACAACTTCGCAGTTAACAGTCCTGGTAGAAACGTCCCGCACGGAAAGTTCGTTCAAATGCCGTCTGCCAGAGGGAGTTACGGATCGAGCGGAACGCTGTTGACTCCCCAAAGCAATCAGGTTTTTGTCCCGAACTTGGGGCCGCCCAATACAGATTTTGGCGCAAATGTTTCCATGACTAACATGAACTTTGGAGGAGGAATACGGGCCAGAGCTTTGTCCCCCACTAATTCTCAGAATATAAGGAATAATTTGAATATACCTATGAACAATGTGGATAAAAACTTGATCTATAGTCAGCTGGGCAGAACGAGGAATGTTCTACGACCCAATAGCCAATACATCACTGTACCTCAGAACGATCTAGGGAGAGGAGGCATCGGCACTCATATTTAGCTTACGGATATAAGTCTCAACATTTGATGTAAAATCATACGAATTTTACTAGTAAAACAATACGCCTTTTACTAGTAAAATGATACGTCTTTTACTAGTAAAATCATAAGTCCTATATTAGTAAAACCATACGCCTTTTATTAGTAAAATCATACGCCCTTTCATCTATTTGCTCTATTTTGCTACTGTGTCCAGAAGAGGAACTTCACAATTTATTCGCCCGTCAATAGTCCTATGTTGGAAAATTTTGAAGATTTTACATTTCAATCTTATAATTTTGAAGACAACTAATATATGGAATTATCTACACATTTTACAACTGTTAATTTGTACAAAATATCTTTGTTGCGTTGCATTAAAGTTCAGAATAAGCTTTTATCTCACAAGAAGATTCATTTGCGTCTTTGGATTACTTAAAACGGATTTCACCCACGCATGATTTTCTGATAAATAATAATTATATCTTCGAATTTAGTTCCAATTGCAAAATAATCGGCAGTGAACCGTGTAATAATATTTTATTGTTCTCGTGTGCTTCTTCATGAAAAAACTTATAGTGGTAATACAATAAACTTTAACTAATACGGAGCACGAATGTATAATTTTTGCTTTACACTTTGTTAACTCGTTGTAAATATTGTGCTTCACAATCGCCTTGCTGGCCTGGAATGAATTTGTGTGTTTGTGTACATTTTGTGTGGCTGTTATTTTAATTTTTTTAATCATATACAAATGCCGTTATTATGGAGAGATAAATTTGTATTACTTGCGGATAAATGGCGAAGCAATTATGAGCCAATCATTCAATAATGAAAGAATTTCCTAAAAATATACCATATGTAATTAAAACCTAATTAGGTATACTTAAAAGACATTAAGTATAATTAATGTCTTTTAAGTATAAGTATTAAGTAATTAAGTATTTAATTATACTGAAATTACTCAATGATCTTATTGCATAATTTCTGAAAATGTTTCGCTATTTATTGACAATTTCATGCCATTAGATTTGCGATAAGAATTTTTGTTAATTTATTGTTTAGATGCTAATAATCATAATAATAACAATTATCCCTGCTCACATCAGCGTTGACATCGTCCAACCGTGGTAATAATGAACTAGAATCTTTGTATACTTTCAGAGCTTCTACTAACTTTCATGTTTACAATAAAAGTGTTACTTGTAAATTGTATAAAATATGGTTAAATTATGTGTGCTCCAATAATGTATATTGCTTTGTGTGTTTCAGTTAATATGATGCACGAAAAATTGAGGAAGTAAGTAACTAATTGAAACAGTTTTCTTTTTGAGTGTTATTGTGCATGCTAATCACTAACAATAGGTCAGAAATAATGAGGGAGATGCGTTTTAGTTTCTATAAATTTAATAACCTTTGGCTTTTAATGTAAGGCAATAAAATTGCCTACAGAAATGCACATGAAATTGCATTATTTCTAAATTTTCTTGTTTATCTTTACTTATATCTGGTTGGTTTGCCCCGAAAAAGTCTTTTGTAAATTTTGAAATTCAACAAAAATTTGCTCACTCATTTTAATTTTCTAATAAAGGTTAGTTGCGTGCGTTTGCGTTAATAAAAGTTTTATTTTCATACTTACCACGTACTGGTGTTTCCTATTGAACTATTCCACTATTCTGTAGCAGACATTATTCCAGCTCAATGCCTAATTTAGGATACCGCTCCATTAGGTATTAATGGTATTAATTCCTACAATTGAGGTTAGGTTACTCTGCTCCATTATGTATTAATGGTATTAATTCCTACAATTGAGGTTAGGTTACTCTGCTCCATTAGGTATAAATGGTATTAATTCCTACAATTGTGGTTAGGTTACTTTGCTCCATTAGGTATTAATGGTATTAATTCCTACAATTGAGGTTAGGGTACTTTGCTCCATTAGGTATTAATGGTATTAACTCCAACGATTGTGATGACATTACTCAATTTTACTTCATTTTGCCTTGAAGGTTCTTCTCTTCTACCTACCAATTTGGTGTACTTGTGTGCAATTTTGGGTAGAATTACTAATAATCTATGGTATTATTGGATGAATTTTTTTAGCTTCCCCGTCGATACGTTTTTTTTCAAAGCTTGTGTTTACGGTGTTTGTTTTTCATGCTTCTTGCTCGTAAACTCAATTAATCCTGAGATTAAAGAGCACACAGACTGAAATTTTTCCAGTGTTTTTGGATATACATGGAAATATTTAAAATATTTTGGCCACCACCACCATTGTTTAAATGTCGTGTTTCGGGAATTGATTTCGCAATGAAATGGCTGGAGTTTTCACTTTTTCTTAATATATAATATTCTTCCAATACGTCAATCAGAACAGAAAAAAATCGAGGACATTGTGTGGGGACAGCGTGACTTGCATTGAATCTGTTTTACTATAGGTCAACTGACTGTTTTTATTTAAGTTAGAAATATTTAAAATTCACTGGTAGTTGAATGGCTGCCGGCTGTTAATTATGAAGGATTGAATAACTTTAAAAATACTTTTTTTTAATATTAGAGAATAACTGAAAAATTCTTGAAAATTTTCTTCAGTTGCTCTAAATTGGCGAGCAAACTTGACCAAAGTTTGTCGAGCAAATGAAAATGACGAATTGCAAAGTTCATTATGAAGAGTAGCATACAGTTGTTCATATAAGAATATTTGTCAATATTAAATTCTGCACAGAAACTTTCATTTGAATAGAGGAGGCAACTTTGTCAGCCTGGAGGAATGCTGCAGGCATTTTCCGTTATGCAGGCATGGTCCCCTCACAACTGCTGGCTTTGATCCCAAACTTCATCCCGCCAGCGCAGGCAAAGGAGTTTGTAAGGCATGGTAGTGAGGGAACACATTCCCTCATGGCAGTGAGGGAACACATTCCCTCATGGCAGTGAGGGAACACATTCCCTCATGGCTATGAGGGAACGCATTCCCTCATTTTAGCGTCAATTATCGTCCCTAATATCCGTCCCTAAGCAGCGGCTTTAATTGCCTTGTCTCAATTAGATTTTTCCCCACGTCGCAATTACCCGATGATAACCATCGTACTCTTCAGCCCGTTATGATCGTGATGATAATCATTTTCTTCTTTATGATATGAATTGAATTGCACATGCGAGTGAATCAAGTGCAGCATGACTTATTCGGTATGTGTTTTTTTAATGTTGATAAACCCAGAATTATCCCAGTTAAAGGTAGATTTATTAGTATTTTATGCAGATGACACCAGCTATAAACGCTATTATGATTTGATTTACATTATTTCCATTAAATGTCCGGAATCTTTTAATAAAACCTGTTGTATTACTTCTCGCGATGAGGGCCTAAGTTTATGGCCCTTCAATATAACAATTAGAGCAAATTATTAAATTGAAATAAATTATATTGGGCAATTAGAACAAAGAAATCAGGGTTCAAATAATTTTAAAGCTCATGATTATCGATTACATTTTTGCCCGTGTTTTTTCATCTACTTACACGTTACTGTTGGCAGATATTTTTAAGGTAAAGCGTCAGTGTTTTTTATGTCGATTTCATTAATTGCGATTTTTTGTGCTGATTTTCGCATTCAAACGGTAAAATTTATCAACTCTTTTTCGAATTATCCTGTTAGATTTTGGAGTTTTAACATGCAGAACTTGGTATGAACTTCATCCGTCCGCTGTTGTCTGACTTTAGGAATGAATCAGGATTGCACTGTGCGTAGAATATTTCACTCTAAAGTGAATCCATTTGTGTCAATTTCCTAGGTGTCCATAAACTTGATTAGAAAAGATTAGCGATCCCTTCAATTTCTGTGTGGACCATTGCGGTTTTCAAGCAAATATTTTGTTTGCATTGCATGATTACATTGTAGGCTTTCAAAAAAAATTTGTTTTGTAATCTCCCACCGTCACCGTGTTCATTCTCATGGCCTGTGTAAATCGAGACCTAATTCGCTTCAGTTAAACATATAGTCGAATCCCAAATTCTGCACATCAAAACTAATTTAATTAAACTTCAATTAGTATATCGTAAAATAAATAACCCTTCAGTTGCACGAGACGTAATATTGAAGTTTAGATCATTAAATATTTTGTCTCGTAATATTAATTTTAAGACCCTTTTAAATAGTGAACTGCATTTATTGTAATTCAAATCCACTTCCCTTCACTCATTAAACGCAGTAATCCCACAAAGCTCAGCCATAGATCTTCCAAATCTAAATCAATTATCATCGAAGCTCTGAGATTGCATGCACATTATTTGAATTAAATCATACGGCAATGATTGCTTAATCTTATCACTTTGAACGTTTGATCCAATCACTCTACTTTTTTTTAATCCAATCAACCTGATTGAGTTAGTTTATGGACAAAGATTTTATTGATGGACAAACTTTACATTAGTTATGCTCTATCAGCCATTTTATTACATTACAATAAGTAAAATAAAGCTCAATTTTTGCCAGTAATATTTTGCTCAAAACCTCAAAACCCTAAGTATTTTCTGGAATTATTTTTGCTCACTAACTGCTCACAAATCCTTTAATATAATTTAATCAGGCTAATTTAACAGGTTGCTCTGCATCATTTCTATTATAGTCCCCAACTTCTAAATCACAAGCACTTTTAGGGGTGCTTGTATTTTTGCTGTTATTTACAGCGCTTCATTGCAATTAAAATATTTAATTGCCACTGATATGTCTTAGTCTAAATAGGAATTTGTAAATTTTTACACCCTGTGCTAAGTTTAATGTTTTATGTAAATTCAAGTAGATTACCATGGAATTGCTATTTCATTGCTTTGTGTATTTCGCGTGGAAACTAAATGAGAGATCAAGAAAGAATAAAAAGAAGAGAAAATAAAAAATAAAAATATTTAATTGAGCTAGAAACCAAATCGGTTTCACAATGTAAAAACACGCGCAATGAAAATAATGAGGCTTCGAATTTTTTCCCGCGCGAGACTTTACAGAAAATGAATGTAATGAAACTGTAAAAAGTTGATTATGAACCATATAAAAATGGTCTAATCAAGGAATATTTTCGAGGCCTTGTTGG